TTATTATGCAACAGGTTTTTTTTAATCTACATTACAAAGTGTACTTTAAAATGTTTTTATATTATTAATCTATATTTTATGCAATTCTTATTGCAATCTAATTGGTTATGTATATTACAAGTAAATAATTTTAAATTAATAACTTAAATAACAATAATTTAATTCATACTAGGCCTGAGAAAATTATTATTGGTATATTCTAGAAAAAGGCTAATAAGTTTGTAATATACTAAAATGAACTATCGCCCGGATCTTTAATTTTTTTTAACTGACTTCTAAAAACAGGAGATTTTCAATACATCCGTATGTTTATTGCATTAAATAAATGATAGTAAATCTAGATAGTCCAAAATATCTTTACTTTTTATTAAAAAGGTAAACAGAGGCACAAATTTCCATACATGGCGGCCATATTGTGATTTGACTTTTTAGTTATTTCATGATAACATTGAAATAAAGCGAAGTAATATTAATAAATATTGATAGCTTATGTTTTATTTATTTAAGAACAAGCTGTACTGGAAATATATTGGCATATTTAGCTTTTAGTGTCAATTGTTCTTTGTCTATGGTTAAGGGTTAGGATTGGAATCAAATATAGCTTGGTATAAAAGTGTTTGAGGATGTTGTCTCGTGAATTTAAAAATATTAAACACTATTAAGAATTAAGTATTAGCATGTTAACCTAGGTCATTAGCTGGCGACACCTATGCAAGTATTCATTCTATTTTCATGATTTTTTTAAACAATAAATAAAGTGTTTTATTTTTCTTTCAATCATATAATAGTGAACTTTATTTGTCTAATTCTGATTATTTTGGTATGTGTTAAACCTACAGTTTTGAGATACCTAAACAAGCTTTAGTTTGATAATTATGTTGAAAGATGACCAAAAAAGATAACAAAACTATCCATAAACAATTTTTTTTAAATTCTGATTTGGTGGGTTAATTTTTGTTTAAATGAAGCCTGATATTAGGTTAATAGCTAGCACTTTTTATTATAGCATCGTTGTAATTTATAATCTGTGGCTCCAAAATTTTAATTCTACCATGTATCAATGTTTTTCAAATTTGGATGTAAAATGTTCTTATGGTGAGGAAAATAGATTCTGCACATAACTGTGAAGATATTCAAAGATATGTTTGTAGTCAATCAACTCATATTGTGCCAGCGACTAAAGCCTAGTCACTCCTAATTTAGGTGAGTCTCCGAGTCCTTCGGTGAAAAGTATAGCGAGTTGTTGATGACCGTACTTCAAAACATCATTATAATATATGAAAGGGTGAATGGTAAGATCAAAGCAAGAAATTCGATGGATGGATAGATGTTTGTAAGAGTTTGTAGCCTAAATGGCTGAACGGATTTAAATGAAATTGGGCATAGATGTAGACGGTAGTCTGGATGAACACATAAGCTCTCACTTTTGGTTTTTTTAATTCCACGCGGACGGAGTCGCGGGCGAAAGCTAATTATTCATAATCTGCCAGTTTTTGATTGACGCGCATAGTAAGAAACACACTATAAGCTAACTTCTGATTATTTACGCGAAATCTGTAGCTTCATTTTATTCACAGCTCATACGCGAGAATCTAACGGAGTGCAATCTGCCGAGCGGTCAGTGCGTGATTTGCCTGTTCGGGTTTGAGGCAGGGGACGTGTTCATCAAGACGCAATGCTACCATCACTTCCACAGCCATTGCCTTGCCAACCACCTCATCTCCGGCAAGAAGTACTACAAGGAAGAGATGGACAAGCTCCCCAACTGGCAGCAAGTCGAGGCACCGCCGTACCAGGTTCGTGAAACTTGCAGGCAGATTTCAGAATGGCGCATCAACTATACTTCCCGGCAATAAGAATTCCCTTCAGCCAGTCTACAATTTAGTAATATTTGGTACTTTTGAAATGGTTAATTATTATTTATTTGCGATTTAGCTCCGCCATCGACAACCTATAACGCGCAGGTCAAGTGACCTATTTAATTTCAACTGACCTACTTTACCGAAACAAACCTTGATAGTTTAACTGATATAAATATTTTATTAAATGACAGTTTTACGGAAATATGTCTCCAATAAAAGGTTCCCAACTGGTACCAGACGCCCATACATACATATATTCATACCAGTCTGCGCGACGCTGTAAGTGTAGACTTTAAAAGTCTACATTAGGGGTCTCCCTTAGTGACCAATTAGCACTTTGAGTGCGGCAGTATTTGAAGGTGTGCGTTTTGTTGGTCAGCCGTGCTGCCCGGTGTGTCGCTGCGTGTTGTCGTTCGACGCGGACACGCTGAAGAAGGCGCCCCCGCCGGTGGGATCCATCAATGCGGCGCCATTCCGCGTCACTCCTGAGATGCTGGTATAATATTTACAATTGTGCTGTTCTCACCTTCCTTAAATTATTAAATACTCGCTGTTCCTCGCGACTTCGTACGCGTTACTCACTGATAAAGAAGCTTTTTAATAGTGCGAAAATTTTTGATATCGGCCCAGTAGTTTTTGAGTTATTTCAATATATACAAAAATACAAATCTTTCTAATACTTTTGTGATAAAGCGTAAACACACACTTGTTAGTTATGTAGGATGTCAGCAATCACAGTATATGTGTTAATAATTATTTTTTTTATAAAAAGCCCTACACTTACGACATGCTATAGGCTACATAATTTAAGGCTCTTAAGCTTAGGGGGGTAATTAAATTAGAAAAAATGCATTATGGGAAAGGGACAAAAACTACATGCCAATTGCATCAAAGAAGCATTATTACCATAGTAATGGTTAGTCAATGTCGACAGCCTTCGTTGTCTTGCATTTAATTTTGACGTTTGCATTTGAAAGTTATACAATTGTAAAGAATAAAATAAAGTTTTTTTTAATTCCTAGCGGATGAAGTCGCATAGGAACAGCTAGTATATACTATTGTTTTTTTACGTAATAGCTTTTCCACGTTTAATGTTTTGTGCAGGCGTTGCAGCGGAAGATGTCGCTGTTGTTGGCTCGTCAAATCCGCAGGGGTGGTGTGGTCGGCTCGAGCTCCCCCGGCCCGCGCCCCTTGACTATCACTACGGCTGCTGATGCGGTGACTAAATTTAAAAACAAATTAAAAAAAAATTACTCGCACTACGTCATTTAGACTTTTGTCAATGAAAAACGTAATAATGTTATATTTAGGTGACTAACGGATCATCGCAGGCCTCGCAGGAAGGCAAGTCTGAGGTTGCCGACGGCCAGCTCCCGGGCAACGCTTCCAACGCCGGCTCCGAGCCCGGCTCGCCGCAAGGACAAGGTTATCGCGGCCCTTACAGGTAACACAAAATTACACATACACGCTTTTTATAGATAGGTACATTTATATTAAAAACGAGCTGTGGCCCGCAAACTTTCTCGAGTGGTCTACCTTCTAACAGGTTCCTTCTAGTCAAGATTCACCCGTTCCGGTCGCCATTTTGAGAGTACGGAATTAAAAAAAAAAAGCTCATAATATGCCCGTCCATGTCAGCTACCTTCCAGTGAAAGTTCCGTCAAAATTGGCCCAACCGTTTCGGAGAATACTCAAAAAACAATACTCAAAAGACAAATTTATTTAAATGCGATTTTTGATTTTCCCGAAATCTAGA